GCTGTCAAACTAATAAACTAGTTATTCCCAGTAAGGAGAGTCTAAGAGACATCATGCACACCAAAGAGACCACTGATAACCACACTTCAGTGATCACGCCTGGAGGCAGACTTGCAGGAGTGAGATCGGCCTGGAGCAGGGCAGCGAGTGACCGCTCATGGCCACCCAGGCCCCGAAGGCCGCACGGGCACTCACTGCTGCACATCGTCTACTAGAGCGGGGTGTCGCTGTGTACTGTGGGCTGGAACCGACCCAGAGCTGACCCTCCGGTGCGTGTTCAGAGGCAGTTAAATCAACGAGAAATTGCCCATCATTCTCCCGTAGAGCAGCTGGTGGATTCAAACCATGTGCCTTCAGGATTGCAACACAGCTTCTTACTACTAGGCCTCCAGAGCTCACTAAATGCAGTCCTTGTACTTTTAGAACATCTATAGTCTAAACTTTTGTCTGACTTCTGCCTCAGATTTTAGGACTAGAAGACCCTCATGCAGACATCAATGGTCTGAAGCAAGCCATATAGCTAAATTAGTAGCATGATGACTTCTGTACCAGCAAACAAACCATAGTTTTACCTTAAACTGCTTCTTCAGACAAAAGCCCCTGTCCTCTCTGCCACAGGGAGCCATGCTGCCCCCCTCCAGGGATTCCATGTTCTGCCACCCGTCTCTCCAGTGAGGTCACTCCTGGCATCTAAACAGGACAGCTCTGCCTCCAGGGAGACTGACCGGCACTCTCTGGCAGAGCCTCAAGCCCACTGGGCCTGCCTCCTCAGCCATGCCCTGGGTGCCCAGAGGATGTGGTCTCCTCGGGCTGAGAACCTGCACACTGGCCACTCTTGTCCCTGTGAATTCAGCTGCTGCTAATGCTATGTTGCTCTGCGGGTCAGTTACTCTCATGAGCACTTTCACCTCCAGGAGGAAGGACTGAGCTCCGGCTGACCTCGACTGGACCTGGTGCCTGGTGTCCCATCCTCTCCAGTCACCACCTGGCTGGCTGCCCATTCAAAACTCACCATGTCATCTCCAACGCAATCAGAAGCATTTCAGGCTACAGTTTTGACTGTGGGCGATCATGTCTCACATCAGCACCATTTTAATACCAACCAACATCTCCACATCATGCTTGGAAAAACGGAAGGTCAGCGGGGGAGAGGAAGACCCTCAACGAGATGAGCTGACAGAGTGCTGGCAACAGCGGGCCAGAGCTGGGCAGTGACTGTGCAGAGGGTACAGGCCAGGGCAAGGTTCTGAGCTGTTCCTCAGAGGAGCACTACGAGTCAGAACGCACCTAGCAACACTGCCACGTTTAAAACCCTCAGTGATGGTTTGAGAACTCTACCTTGAGTTTCACCAAGTCCTTTACCAATACTATGACTGATACCATCTCTGCTGCCATGGACAACCCCTACCTTGAACAGGCAGAGCCAGGAGAGCGACCCAAGGGGCCGTCAGGCACACCAGCCAGTACCCACAATCTTCCCAACACAAACTCAGCTCTGTCGCTCCTAAATCTAACTCAGCCCACGTGCATAACGGAGTTGAGAGAACACTTTCATGCCAAAGGAAAATGCTACTTTGGGATGGAAAAGGAATGGTGGCGATTTATTGTCATTGTTATAACCATTATTGTCACAACAGCAAACCACTGAGTCCTTGCAAGGCGCCAGGCACCCTAAGGGTTTCGCATGCGTTACATTACTGGGTGATTTAAAAAGAAACAGGCGTTTTCCTTAATGGGGACACACACCTGCAGTCTGCTGGGGAGGAATCAAGTGCTGCTGCCGTGCCGACTGGAACAGCACCACCCTGCCCTGTGCGCTGAGGGCAAGCGAGGGCTCTACTTCCCCATGCAAACATGCGGAGACCCTGGGGCTCGGCACAGGCTGCTCCCCAAGGGTAAACACCCAAACGGGAAGGCTCCTGTTCTGTGGAAGCAACTGATGAACTGGCTGATGTAAACGGCCTGGCCGTGGTATTCCCTAAGAGCAGGTACTGACTCAAAAGGCTAGAGTTAAAGGTTTACAATGATAGAATATTTCAAATGATACTTTTTCTAAAAACTTACTATCTCTAGTGTCATAGTAAACAGTTTAGTAAAAAAAGGACAGAATCAAAACCCTTCCTGTCTTTCATGATGGAAGTTAGTTTAATATCTACAGTACTGGATACATTTCCTTGGCAATGAGATTATTTGACAACTACTCCTTTGAAGGTGTGCTATTGGTTTTTCTGTTTCTCAAGTAACAGATACTGACTTTTTTTTTCCCAAGAAAAATGTAGTAAGGTATAAACTAAGAGAAAAGGTACCTCTTCTGCGTGGGTCCACCACCACAGTTCTAAGACAGCGGCGATTCCACAGCACCCTTTTCCCGCTGAAACTCTGCATTGAGTACTGGAGTATGAATGTGTTTTTATTATGAGATGAATGTGATTGATTAAATGACCTTGATCAGGTATCTTACCTTGGTCTTAAAATTTGTTATCTGTTTTCTTCATTGTATGTGTTTATTAATACCAGTAAAAACAGATTATCACATATCTTCCATAAAATGACTGTGAAAGAAATGTCATTTAGTGTATGCGACGAGGTACCACTTGCAGCAGACATCTCGGGGTATTACAGCATGTTAAGTGCAGTGCATTGCAGCTGAGTCCAACTCCAACTTGACTGAGGTGGGCTCCCATAAAAGCTGTTACCAGTGAAGGCGAAAAAAATAAGAATTTGCTCTACTAAAGGGAATAAGAAATGAAGTTACAAAACACTTAAATCACATTAACTTCTTGCAGGTCTTTGTCATGCAAGTGTGACATTTCAGTCTTTGATTAGGGGGATGCAGAATGCCACTCTTCTTCAGATAGAAATTTTAACACACACACCTTTTTTTAGAAGAATGCGGCTACAATATGACGTAAAATGTTTTCAAGTATCAACTCTAACTCTATATATCAATCAAATGTGATGAAAGGTAAAAATATAAACCTACAAAAAGTACCTGCCACTAAGATGTAGCCTGAACCCCAATAAACTGGAACCCCTCAGTCACTGCACTGGTATCAAAGTGGACCCCACTATTTACAGGGTTTCTTCGTGACCCCCACACCTTGCCTCTTACACCAAAAGGCATCTGGCAATGTGTGCACGCTAAATATTTACCACAGGCAGAATGGACAAGTCTTTCTGCTCATCTAATTTTACTCTAACAGTGTAATTCTGTAAAACTGAACTCTGATGGTTTATTATGTCACACAAAGTGGCCCCAGAGAAAACGCCTAGTAACTAAGATGTCTTTACGTAAGGAACAGAATGCCTACAAGATCTGCATATCACCTTTAAAATGTAGCTAAGACTTAGCTAATATTAATCATCTATCACCTTCTCCAATTCTAAAGAAAGAATAAAAAAAGTCAGTTATGTCTAATGATTATATAACGTTCCACCTAAGTCCTGAAGTTCAGAAAAATTTCTCTCCAGGTAACATAACCCTTCCTCAACTCATTTTCAGCTCCACCTGCCACGTTAGCAAGCTGTCTGCTCCTGAGGCAGCCCTTCGTGTCCACAATTCATGATCAGGGACAATCTAGATTTCAGTAACCGTAGTTTCATTTTCTTTTCAGTATTATTAAACAGTATAAAAACTCGATCAATTAAGTGGACCAAAAAAAGCATGCAAGGAAAACGTTATCATTTTCCAAAAAAAAAAACAACACAAAAACAACCAAACACTAACAAGGCAACTTAAGTGAAAATCTTCAGAAGTACAAATGTTGTTTTTTAAAATATTATTTTTGGAATTGTAGACCCATTTTCACTTAATTTTGTACAATATTAATCTAATCTTGACAAGAATACAATGATAAGAAAGCCCTATTCCCACTTGTGAGCACCTTGGCATCACTATGTGGCTGTCTGAGTCCCACTCAGGGGGGCAGCCTCCAGCACCACCACCACCAGAGATTGGCAACCGTCAACTACTGTGTTCTGGCTCTTTCTCTAAGTGCCCAGGCCACTGGGCTTCGGAGCTGGAAGACTCTCACTCCCTAGACTAACGGGGAAAACCAGCTGAGCCAAGACACAGTGACTGGACCTTGCTCCTCCTAGGAGCAGAGACTCTGTGCGGACAATCACCTCCTGAGGCAACAGAAGTGAGGGGCCAGGTCTGACCACTTCCTGCCTCCTAGCCTGCCCCTGAAATGCCCACATTAACACCTCCTCATAAACAGCATGCTGTTAGAATCTCGGGGATTGTGCGTACCTACCTACCACAAGGGAAAGAGAATCACAGAGAACAAAATAAAGAGCCATTAACAGTTGACATTACGGCCCAGGAAGCAAAAACTCTCCCTAAGACGTGCGAGACATGCACTGCCTGCTGGGGGCATCGATTTCAGGGATGCTCGTTAATCTCAACAGCAGGCCATGCTGCTGGCAGGGAAGAGCCTCCCGGAGGCAGCTGCTTCACACAGGTTTGTACGTCCACAAAGTAGAGGCGTCTTAGTGCAACTTAGTTTCAATTAATTTCAACATTTAAGTAAGAGAATGTCAAAATGTAAAGAGGTCAAAGGCCTGGGCGCAACACTCCAGAAGACACAGGATCGAGGGTCACCTGGGTCCTCCCAGAGCCAGGCCCAGGAAGCCACGAGAACTGGGTGGCCTGTGACCCGACTGTCCACCTGCTGAGCTCACAGAACCATGGGCAGCTCAGCTGACGCGGCCGTGCCTCTGAAGACCAAAACAGACTTACTATCATGTGAAAAACCAGTGTGACTGCTACAGAAACCATGAAAGTTTGAAGACAGATTCCAAGAACACATATACATTGACACATACACACATGCGTGGGTGTGTGTGCGCCTGCGTGTGTATGTACTTGAAGTGCTCAAATGGGCTGAAATGTCAGGTGCTCTGGAGAACACCAACGCTCTAAGTGGGACCTTCGCTCACACTGCAATGTGATTAATTATGTGGCCGTTAGAGGAACACCAGGGTTACCATTATTGTTATTATTTTACCTCATGCTCAGTTAAGGAGGTGGAAGGAGATGAACTTTTGCTAAACCCAAGAGTTGAAGGCGCCGCCGTGGAAGATCGATTTCGCTTCTTCAGTGGTTTGCAAGCATCAGACAGATTTTTCGTTGCTGTAAAATAATTTTTGTTTATAAAGTTTGAGATCTTAAACGCTCCATCTTTTTAACACTTTAAAATTATCTCTCCTTGAAGTAACACTCTCCTGGTGTATTTATGGGTCACTGTGCCATGCAGCGGGCTTAATTCTTTAACGCACACTGTGAATGCCAACAAAAGCAGACACTGTCGCGTGGCCACGTGCCCACCGCCTGGCCCCAACGCCCACTGAGCAGGCCACTGCTGCTTGTCCCAAGGCCCCTTCCACAGTGATTCAGACGCAAACCCCTGATAAACTGTTTCATCTCTAATTGTTTGGTCCATGTTTCTCAAACATAACAATTCCTTTCTCATACTTTGAATAAAGTAATCCTCCACATCATCAAATAGCCAGTCGGTGTCTCTAACTCCTCACCAAGGTGCACACTGAACAAGGAGGCGCTGCCATCACTCAAGTCTGCTTAAGTGACCTTTTAGACCCAGACAGTCCTACAGGGAAACAAAACCATCCCCAATCTTTATCTCCCGTGAATTTTTTTTCTATTTTAATTTAGAATTGTTCATTTCTTGTGGCCTAGTGGGTAAACAGCTCTGTTTGCTTAGTGGTAAGGAGTTATGCCGCCATACCAAAGGTACACGGTTCAAACCACCAGCTGCTCCATGGGAGAAAGGTGGACACTCTCCTCTTGCACCACATCCAGCCTCTAGAAACGTGCTGAACGTGAGCCATGAGTCAGTTCCAACTCAAAAGCACACAAAAGCAGCAGCAAGTGGATAAGGAGTTGTACTGCCAACCCAAAAGTAGGTGGTTCAAATCTACCAGCTGCTCCTTGAGCCAAAGTAAATAATGTCTTTCCAAGTGATTTATTGCCTCTGAAAACATGCTGGAGGCTCAGCTCAGGGTCAGTCTGACCTGACAGAACATAAAAGCAAGAGCGCTCTTTCTATATTTTTCCTAAAACCATTTTAAGCTGATTTCAGTATGTAAACTGGAAATGATCTGCTAGTACCCCTCTTTTTGTTAGACTTACGTGGATTTTCAGATATTCAAGACTGCCGGCATTTAGAGCAACAACTGACACCTTCATCCAGGAGACCTGCATGTGTCTGTTTTAAATCGGTTCTCTGGGACAATTTTAGGGAGTTCTGGTGACCTAGGGTAAAAAGCTGCCCTGCACCCTAAAGGCAGGTGAGAACTTCCTGCTGTTGTGAGCCTTCAAGGGATCTTCTTAGGTTAAAGCACTTCTCAGAGGATGCAGGCTTCCTCCCACAGAGCCGCAGGTGTCCTCAAGTCGCCGGAAGTGCGTCACTCCCTCCAGACACAGAATTAGATCCTTTCTACTTTTAAGAAGTAGGAGTGGCATCCACTTCCTAAACGACATGCCTCTGGAAACTCTATGCACTTTGAGAAATGATGCCAGAGAAAAGCTCCAGGCCTTTTGTTCACGGGGTCGCTATGCATCGTGCTCGACTCGACGGTGATCAACAACTCCTGAAATGGTTCACTGGCCCACCTGGTGTCAACTGACCTGCCGACTGCTCTGAGCAGCTGGAGCCCTGCCCGCCCGAGCTCAGTGCCCCGTCCACCCTCGACCTGAGCGGAGATGCCATGCTTGTTTCTCCTCGGCACCCTGTGGCTCAGGCCGGAAGCTCCCAGTTCAACACAGGGGACCCGGTGGGAGTGTGGGGCGGAGGGGAGCACATTACCTGCCTGGCTCTTGAGTGAGGAAGCTGCCTCCGTGGCCTTAGAAGAGCTTGTTCTGCTTCCTTTGTCAGTGGATGTCTCCCTCTGTTATTAAAAAAGGGGAGAGGAGGCCAAGTTCATAAAGTAAACTAACAGCCGTGGAAATGACCGCCCAAGAGCCCACTCCTTTGCTGCCAGCCTGGCTGGGCGACCAGGCCCGTCCCCCGCACACCTGCTGTGCAGTGCCAGCACCTGTCAGGAGGGGGAGCACGGCAGGGCTGCCCCATGCTCCAATCCTCTCCTCCGGAGAAGCCGCTGCGTCGCTCCAGAGGTGGGGCTGTGGAGTCAGTGCTAACGTGCTCGCCCCGCCTCACTGAGCTGAGGACAACCCCGGGCTGGGCCCACAGGAAAACCTCATCGGCTAACACACGTCCAACCACAGAGGCATGGAACGGACATCACCAGCATTCCGTCTCACCCTCTGGAGCTTGACTGCTGAAACGTCCCCTCTCTGGGCAGGAGGACAGTGCTGGTCAGTGGGTCAGACGGCTGCGTGGGAACACAGAACCCTTTCCTCTCCAACCAGAGGCCACTGAGAGGGGGACAAGACTGCCCGTGTCGGGTTGTCACAGGATCATGGGCAGGTTTCACGTGATCAGCACTTGGAAAGGTACCAGTGCAACGCAAGAGCTCACACAGTAGGGCTTACAGGGAAAGATGACTGGGGTCACATACACCAGACCAGAGCAAACCCCACGAGGCTGCACTCTTCCTTAGGCTCTGTTCCAAGCCATTCGTTAAAGAAGCACTTCCAGCTAGCTCTTTCATGTGGGTTTTGGTATTTCAAATGTCCAGGGCCACACAATTTTTAGATAAATTATTATGTACAAACATTTTCAAAGTTACCAGTTAAAAATAATGTCCAGTAACGGTTGCTCCCGCCGCTGGCCAGCAGGTGCCCTGAGGAAACCTGAGGACGTGCATGCTGCTAACACCAGCTTCCAAGCTTGAAGTGAGTCTAAAGGAGGCTTGAGATGAGCCCTGCAGCACTAACAGCTCCATCTACTAAAAGTGCCCAGGAAGAATCCCGAGTCAGGAGACGGGTGGGCCACCTGATCCTCTGAACCACAAAGATGGCTTTAAAGGCCTAACTGAATGACGCAGGGCCTGTACTGGGGGATTTAGCAATATCTGAAAGTGATCTTCCATTCTTCAAAATACAACAAAACAATACAAAGGGAAATTCTTCATTTACAACAGAATATAAAACTTTCTTCATAGCATGCAACTGATCTGAGCTACTGTAAAGCAAACACAAAGGCTGCCATGTGGCACGAACTTGAACTCAGCTCAGGAAGCTGACTGGCTATCTGAAGGGGTTAAGGCGCTCCCATGGCAGCTGCGCAAGCTCCCCAACCGTCTCCTGGATTAGCTTCGCTCCCCTAAACTCCCCCTGCTCTGACCAGGTGAACGCTGTCCTCGCTGACACCACGTGGCCCTGAGGCTGCCCTCACAGGCAGGGTCCTCATGTCCACACTGTTCTTTCTATCAAACAAGCTGACAGGTCAGCAGTGCACAGGCTGCTCACAAGAAAGCTGGAAGAGCTCACCAAGTCCACGTCCACTGCCTGCAGGAGGTCTTTCCAGCTTCTGGCTAGAAGCACAGTGGACCTTCCTGTGTTCGTGGCAGCTCACCATTTGCACTCAAATCGAAAGCCCTGTCGATAAGGGCCGTGTTTAGTACCCAATTTTATCACGTCTAAGAAATCAAGGACTACTGGCCTGGGTGTTCCCTTTCTCTGAAATCTTAACATCCTCCATGTGGCCACCCTAGTGACCAAGCAGCCTCCCCAAGCACTCCCGTGACACAAGCAAGTCCCAGGTGTCTAGAGCCACAAGCCATCCTGGAGAGACCTGGAGGCCTGCCCCCAACCTCACTAGGTTCCACACAGGGAATTGGGGCCCTGAGCAGGCATCCCGTGAGGCAGGCACCCACTCAAGGCAGTTACCTTCCGAAGACCGTGCTTATCTGTCCGGAGTCGCTTCCGAGGCGCTTCCTCAACTTCAAAGTCTTCCGTTGGGTCCTGTGTCCTCTTCGTGTGGGTTCTTTTCTTTCCATTTATGTTACCTAGGAATGGAGGACAGGGCAGATCCGTGAAAAAACAACCACTGAGAACTACCCAAGGCAGCCAAGATAAGCCCCGGCCAGGGCAGGCTCCTGGAAGCCCGATAACCCCCAGGGCCCACACGGGCAGGTCAAACCCCTTACAACAAACTTCTGAAACGGCTTCCTGTAACAGCAAGTAGCACAAAACACAGAGCATGGGAAAGCCTTTCCATAATCCAGCAACGTGGATGCTGACACTCGTCATAGTGCCCAGTCCTGGAGGAGCGGGGCGGGGTAAGGGTCCCAGCAGGAAGGGTCAGCAGTGTTACCAGGAGGACTGCGCTCCAGGGATCCCGATGGCCCAGGCAGCTCCGCTGGGAACAGGAATCAATTTGATAGCAATGAGCTTGGTTTTCATTCAGTCACTTCTTGTTGTTAGCTGCCACTGAGTCGAGTGCAACTCACAGCGACCTTATGAACAACAGATCTGAACCCTGTCCTGTACTGTGCCAAACTCACGCTTCCTGACACACAAGAGCCCACTGCAGCCGTCGCCGTGTCAATCCACCTGGTTGAGGGTCTCCCTCTCCTTCGCCGACCCTCCACCTTTCCCAGCACCTCCTAGCAATATGTCCAAAGGACGTTAGACAAATACTCATCATTTCCACCTGCAACGAGCACGCCGGCTGCATGATCTGCTCGTTCTCTTGGCCGTCCATGGGATGTTCAGTGCGCTCTTCTCCAGCACCACAGCTCAAAGGCATCAACTCTTTTCCTGTCACTGGAATTCACTGTCCAGCTCTCAGGTGCACAGCTAGTAGTCAGAAAGACCATGGCCTGAATCAGATGCACCTCAGCCCTCAAACTGACATCATTACTTCTCAATAATTTGGAGGTCCCCAACTACAACTTTTCCTGTGAACTTCATTTCCTTTCCGGGCTGTTAATTAAGGATCCAAGCAGAATGACGCTCTTTCCATTTCCATTTCTTCTCCATCCATCATGATGCTGCCTATAGGTCCAGAGGAAAGAATCTTTGTTTTCTTGACATTGAGATGCAGTCCATACTGAAGGCTGCATTCCTTGATCTTCGCAACAAGTGGCTCAAGTCTCCTCTTCACTTTCAGCAAGCAAGGCTGTGTCATCTGTATAACGCAGGTTATTGAGGAGTCTCCCTCTTATCCTGATACCACATTCCTCTTCAAAGAATCCAGCTTCTTAATCTGCTCAGCATACAGACTGAATAGGTATGGAGGGAGAGTACGACCCTTCTTAATTGTAAACCATGCAGTGCTCCCCTGCTCTGTTCACACAGCAGCCTCCTGATCCAGGTACAGGTTTCGCATGAACACAATTAAGTGCTCGGAGACTCCCGTTCTTCTCAATGTCGGCCACACAGTTAAGATCCACACAGTCAAATGGTTTTGCACAGACAATAAAGCACACATTCTTCCATTTTTCTGGTATTCTTTATATTCACTGACAGTTGTTGTTGCTGTTGTGTACCGTCGAGTTGTAACCAACCCATAGCTACCCTCTGGAGGGTTTTCAGAGGCAGTTAACTGCACAGGAGGAGACTGCCCATCCTTTTCCTGCAAAGCAGCTGGTGGCCTTGAACTGTGTGCATTTGGTATTGCAGCACACCTCCTTGCCACTAGACCGCCAGAGCCCAAGTAGTAAATTTAAATATAATCAAGTATTTTTACAGGGAAGCCACAGACTGGGAAAAAAGTGTTTGCTAATGACATATCAGATAAAGGACTTATATCCAGAATTTATAAAATATTTGAGTACCACAACAAGATAAAGGTAAATAATCCAATAGAAAAATGGGCACAGGATATGAACAGGCACTTCACCGAAGACGACATTCAGATGGTTAGCAAACACATGAAGAAATGTTCAAAATCCCTAGCTCTAAGAGAGATGTGAATCAAAACAACTATGAGAGATCATCTCACCCCAGTCA